AAATAAAAAGAATCTTAAAGAAAAAAAAAAAAGAATTTTCTGATTGCCTTTCTACTTATAAATTGGACTTTATTAGAAACAGCCTCCTCTCATATTGCCTTGCACGAGGCATACCCAAGCCTTCAATAAGCTCAGTGAACCTCTGCTGACTTGTATTATTTGAAAGTGTGGATCTTTGTGCATGAATGGAATATACATTATTTCTTTAATAACACAGAAATAATTTCAATCATTCTTGATTCTCCTTTTACTTGGTCTGCATGATTTGATTTTCCCAGCCTCTTGTGCTGCCATTCTGACATGATCTCAGAGACCCATGAATTATGGTGGCTTCAGTGAGGAATCAGACTGCCACTGGTAAGAAATACAGACCCTCTGTCTGTTGAATTTATGTATTTAAATCCCCTGAGCTTTGTAGCTCAGCCTGATAATTTCCAGAAATTTACTCTGTGCTAAAACAAGGAATTCTAGAAGCCATGAAAAATAGAATTATGTGTTGAAATTAAAGGACTCTTCAGATCAAAAATGAGGCACTAAGAGGGAAATTTAGTTATAGATTTGAACAGCTATAGCATGTGGTAAGGCGCTCTGTATTTTTGGAAGGCAACGTGGATAGCAGCATATCTGGTTTCTGAAAGGCTTTGAGATTTTCCAGGAGTGGAACTGCGTAAGCACAATTAAAGCTGAGAGATGGACAGCTATACTGGTGACCACAGTAAATGCTATTTTGAGGTACCAGCCAATGTCACAGAGTTTATAAGCATCATTTGTCAGAAATAATGATAAAGAAACATTTTAAATCTAAACTGCTATGGGAAACTCCCGGTGCTCTTCAAATTTCATCTTATTCCAGTTTCTCAACCTGGATCTGATTCAAGACTTTCAAAGTTCTTGATTTCAAAGTTCTTCCAAAGTGTCTGGATTTCAAAGAAAATGAACTGGATCAGGGACAGATAGCAAGGTCTAGAGTCTTCTGAAGTGCTGAGAGCCCATGAATCCATGTGAAAACAGCTTCTGCAGTGCCAGCCCCTGCTCACATACTTAATGGGAGTTCAGAAGTCAGAGTTTGGGGTCATCCTCTGCTTGTTTCTACCCTCATGTCGTTGCTTATTGATTTACTCACGGCAGGTCAACTCCTGTCTCATCCACGTCAACAGCCCACTTAAAACTTAAAACTTTGCAGATCAGAGCTTGCAGTCTCCAGGGGAGAGCAGGCTGGGAGAAAGGACAGAGCTGGGACACCCCTCAAAGGCAGAGTCCAGGGGGCACAGCCTGCTCCTCCTGATGCTGCCAGGGCACAACAGCTGGTGCCTTTGCTCTCACTGCGTCAGCTGCTGCCTCCCCACAGTCCCAGACCCTTTCTCAGCAGCAGCAGCAGCCAGCCTGCTTTGCTTGCAGGTTTGGAAGGGTAGAAAGTAAGGAATAGGTCCATGACTACTTTTGCTAGACCAATAACCTGGCTGCCCTGGAAAATTCATTGTTTCATTTATGCTTCATTTCCTGGTTCTCTTTGGACTCAAGAAGTCAATGAAGTACAAAGCATGGTCATTATTGCCCCAGTTACCCTGCTGTGAATCTGTGTTAGCTGATGTAAGGTGTAAGTTTTCAGAGTTTCTATGCCACAGCAGCCCAGCTGGGACCAAGTTGTTCCTAACATCTTGGGTCAAACATCAAAAATGACTGGTTACAAACACTGAAAATATCTACTTTTTTTTTTTTACTTTTGTTTTGTTTTGGTTTTGGTGGGGGGCAGTGGAAAAGAAGGGCAGGGATGTTCCTAGGGTATTTCAATAAGAACCCTAGAAAATGCCTCACACATTTCTGTTCTTTACTGTCATATAAGCCAGCTGGCTGTGTACCTCAAATCTTTTTTCGGGAAGGCAGTACAAGACAGCCATTGCAGTGGGCTCTTTTCATTGAAAATAATCCCCTCTTTTTGAGAAGAGACTTGAGTGTTGCCTCAGAGAAGAGTGGAGAAGAGTGCCAACTTTTGCCTCTCTCTTTATAATTTTCCGCTTTTCTGGAGTGCCCGTTTGGCAAATTTCTTTGCATAATTCTTGGCAAACAGGGTTCAGGTTTCATTTGCTTGTCCCAGCGAGGGGAACCAGCAGCTGGGGGGGACAGCAGCACCTGGTGGGCACCGTGTGAGCCCCCAGAGGTGGGGCTGGACCCCGCAGGGTTCGCTGCACCGCGCACCGGAGCTCGGACACGCTGCTGTGCTTGCAGCACATCAACAGGACATGCACTGCATCCCTTCTCTTCCTGGGGGTCTGCAGTCTTTCAGAGTATATTTCCTAGCTCTTACTGTTGTACACAATGGCCGCTGGTTTTGCCTTATGCTTTCTGGGAGTCGATGGGGCTGTTGCAGGTGATTTGAAGACTTTTCTGGTAATCAGCCTGCAGTTACACTTTCTTCATCCCACTGCTCATGTCATTCTTCTCTTGTGACATCTCAGGTATGAGCATAACAAAGAGATGTTTTTGAAGAATATGGTGTGCACAAAGTAACTTGGACAAGTTACATGTGGATTGTTTAAGTGGCCTATCTACACAGCCCTTCTTGAACAGGTGACTTTCAGGGTGAGCATGTGAAGAGGTGGAGAATTTGCTCCTGTAACAACTGTGGATGCCTAGAGGGTTGAGTCATGCATCCTCCAATAGTGCAGGCAATAAAGAGTAATAAATTCTGAACTGTCCAAACCCCCCCACTTCTCCCTCAGTGCTCTCCTCTCCACTGTGCTGTGTGATGGAAACAGCAGCATCTATCTCTGCTGATGGACCAGGGTCCATCCCACTTGGAGCACACAGATTGGATCTGGCCTGTAGGACAATTTATGCCTTAAAGTGGGAGAGGCGAGGTGGGGCAGTGTCTTACAGCTATTGAATACCTTTTAATCCCTTGCTTTCTGGTTGCTTTGGCCTATTAGGCACTTCCATGTTCTCATGGAAAGAGGAAGTTGCCACAACAGGAATCTAACCTGTGATGGTGAAACAGCTGGTCAAAGTAGTGTGTGAGATCAGCACCTCTGTCTTCTGGGAGTGCCACTGTGTTTTACCATGGCTGAGATGCTGAGGAGGTGGAGGGGAGGGGGTAAAACTTGTTCAGGATGAGTCAAAACCCATTTTAAAGAGAACAATGGACAAAGGGACACAAGAGATGTAACACAGGGGAAAAAAAAGCCAAAACTACAGCAGCAAAAGTCAGAGGCTTGTCTGTTATCAAGCTTAGAGTTTAAACAGCAAAGTGCTGCCTATGGCTGTGGTTATGAGCTTGGGACCATGTGCTCTGAGTCATAGACATTAGATGGATGAAGGAAAACTGACAGCAGGACAGACTTTCTTCTGGCATATTAGGTAAGCATTTTTCATACTTGGCTACAAGGGTGCCTGAGAAGTACCAGAGTAGTTCACACACTCAGCCTGTTTTATCTTTAATTGCCCTGATGACTGGAAGCTGGAACAACCAGTGCCATTAAGGGCTACTTGTAACTGTCCTGGATAAGCTCAGCTCTGGAAGGACCTGAAATTAATCTTATAGGATCATATCGCATAGTGTCCAAAATGTATTTGATGACCTGCAGTGCATATGAGCTAGTAATTTGGAGGTGATTTATACTCAATACTCCTTCTTGCCATGGATCTTGGGGATGGTGATCTAAAGTAGTAGATTGAGCTGTGCCAATAAACTGCTGGTCTCATCTTGTGTTGTGATGTCAGCCAGGAAAAATAGGACTGGTAATGACTAAATCCTGACTTTCTCAGTATTGCACTTACAAAGAGTAATAATATCTACCTTTCAAATGCTCCCTATGCAAGGTGGACCACAGAAGCCAGCTGGAGTCCCAGCTACTCTGTGTTGTCACAAGACCCCCCTCATTAGCCTTGTGACTTGTTAAACACAATTCTGTCAAACTTTGTTCTCTAGCCTGCCATTACTTAGATACTAACTAAACCAGCACCCACTAGCTCCCTTGGGGATCATTACATCTCTCTGCATATATGCTGTGGCAGCAAAAATTTAAGCTTGGATTTTAATAATAAAGAAATTAATTTCCTGATTAAAAATGGTCCTTTAAGCAACATGCATTTGAATAATCCATCATAAAAACAAATGAGTCTGTAGCAGTGCTCTTGACTTGATAATATTTTTTCTGCTTTAAATTTAAATCAGCTGCATTTTTTTCCTCTCAGTCTGTAGCCTATAGAAAAATACAATGAATTACTAAAGAGAAAGCAATAGTTTGGAACTGCAATAGCCTAGTGTGGAATATATATTTTAGATCTGTCACTGCAAGATAGATTTGTATGTCATGGACCTAATAAGATACCCTTCAGGCAACTCCACTGATATTAGTTGTCTTACAGAAAAAGTAAGTTAATGCAGAAAATTTGGTTTCGGATATTTGCAAAGTGTTTTGAAGATAAAAGACCTGTACATACCAGAGTTGATCTAGTTATTGTTAAAATCTCTAGCAAAGGTTAGCAAAGGTCCTGTTTAATTCAACAAGAGCTACCGAATCAGGACTGATGAATGTAGCAGAGATGTATTTACAAATAAACATTTGAAAATAATGGCAGTTTGGTAATTTTAAATATTGTGTATCTCTCCCTATCTGTAGATGCAAAGCAGACCATTAACACTTCACAAGAGGTGCCTACTTTTAAACAAGTCCCTCAGTTTGTATCTGTTAGCTGTTTTCATTGTGTGGTGAGCACAAGAAATAACAGATTTGTGTAGCTGAGGAAAGATGCAAAAAGACACCTCTAACTTATATGAAAATATGTGACACTGTTCCTGAAAGTAAAGAAATGAAAATTTAAATCTCCTTGCTTCTCCATTTCCCCCCATTACAGTTACACTTTACCAGATGTTTGTACAGTCTGCAATATTTCACATCTTTCATGCCCAGCCCATGCCACAAGCCCTCCAAGTCTCCGCTGATAAAAAATCAGCCTTTATCAGTACTGGTCTCAGCATTAGCAACCTGATAATTCCTCACCTTTTGGTCCAGGCAAAATTGTGTGTGTTGAGCAGACATCTGTTGTAGGTCGATTATCAACATCAAAACCAAAAATCTGAACTTGCAAGATAAAAAACACTACAAGGGTCCCATATGTCGTTAGCTGTTGTTCTTTCTTGCTGCTCATCCTTGCAGTTTCTCAGGAAATGCCTTTCGTTGTTGCAGTCTTAAGAAATGCAGCTGACTCAAAAATAAATGCTTCACTAACTGGAGCAGATGAAAGCTTGGGAGCTACATGCAAGAGCAGCTAAATAAAGTGAAGAAAGGAGTTTGACGATGCTGTAGTTATTTCTGTCCTGCACATTATCCAGGATATTTATTTAACACTGACAGCTGTTTATTCCAATTTATCTCTTATCTGAATGAGACATTTAGCTGCTTTTGCCATGGAAAATTTCTCCAACATATGGGAATATCTCTCTTGTAACTTTTTTGCCTTTCAGCACTGAATCTTCATGCCCAGCATTTCACTAACTCAAGGGACAAAAGATTTTGGTATTGTATCCAAGTGTGTACTAATTAGTCATAGATACATTTGGCTGCCTGTGTGTAATGCAGACTGCATATAACATGTAGAAATACTTTTCCATAAAAGCTTTCCACCAAGGAGACTGTTAGTGACAACAAATGAGCCAGTCCACTGTGGGTGGAAATCTCCAGTGCTCCATCTCACCTTTTGGGTGTCAGGTACCCACAAATGAAAAGCTGACATTATCCATGGGTGTTTTAGCCTGAAACACACAAATGAGGGGTTTATGCTTACAGATGGCTCCACAGTGCTAGCCCCAAGCCCAGCTCATGTTGGTAGACAGAGCACAGAAGGGACAGACTTCAGGACAGAAGACACAGAACAAATGAGCTTGAATGACTGCATCACCTTCTCCCATATCACTCTTGCCTTGCACTGGGAGAGGCCATGTATGGGAACAGTGGTGTAGCATAGATCCCAACAGAATGTTATCTTTGGCTTGTCCAGGGAAACTCCAGCTGGTTTGAATCCTGAGGTAACCTTCAGGTGTTCAGCTGGGTGCTGGGACCCTGAAACCAGTGTAGGAGGCCTCTTGGGTGGAGGAACAGTTGCATGCATCCTTCCTTTTGGAAGGAGCTGTGACAGATACCTACCTAAGTGCAATCCCTTCTGGAAAAATCTCTAGCTTTCTCTTAAGGAGAGCACAGTAACCAGGGTAAGAGGATGTTCAAGGTAGCCTGGCAGAAAAGAAAGGGGAGATGACTATTTGTAGTATTTCCAGGAATTTTGTTAACTTCTGGTTTTTCACACAATGAGACAGTTACTAAAAAAGCTGAACTAGGCTTTTGAGCCATGTAGTGTGTGAGAGGGTGTTTGCTTTCCATCTTAGGAAAAAATGTATTTCCTACATTAATAGCTTTTGAGAGGCTTCCTCATTATTTAAGAGAGTATTTGGTTCTCTCGTTCTATGTTTCAGCCTTTGGGCATACAGAATAAGTAGCAGTACTTATGTAAAAGTGAATACCTTTACTTAAAGTCTGAAGGAAGGCTCTGACTTCAGGCTTTCATCTGTGATAAAATGTTGGCCAAAGTCCCAAGAAGGGTCAAGATACTCCTCTCCCTTTTTCCTTCTAGCCTGCTCACAGACTGTCCCCCTTTCCAAAACACTTTTTTCCTTGTTAAAATATGTACAGTGCTCTTCAGAAATAAACAGAGGTCTCTGTCCTAGAGAATGTCATCTAATGTACCCCCTCAAACGTGGCCTTGATAACGGGTACACACAGCTATTGGGGGAGGAAACACAAAGCCAGGGTTATGGTTGAGTAGAGGCATACCAGAAATAAACTTGTTCCTCTGTGATTTGCATTGGGCACTGTGCCTCTGCCTTGTACACTGTTAATCTGTTTTATTTAACTTTTTCTTCACTTTCCATTTTGTGAGCAGAAGGTCAATGTAAGAGCAAGAATAGAGAGCGTAGGAGTGGGAAGCTAGTGTACTTAGGGCTGGAGGAGGCATTTTGGGAAATGTTGCCAAACTGACATGAATGATGCTATCTGTTCCACGGTACTGAGAGACTTACAGTGACTTGTTTGTTATTTATCAGGGATAAAGAGGGGTAAAGTCTAAGTGAGAGAGGAAATAATTTGTTTAACTACTTCAGTTACTATCTGGGACTGAGCAGGGAAAATTTTTCTGACAGTGGTGTGATCATTTACAAATGTTTTCAGTCCACCTTAGAAAATAAATCAAGACGCTACTCTTCCCCAACCCTCACCTCCCACCCCCACTCCACCTTCCCTGACAGTCACAAGCCCCCTGAAAATACTGTGAGAAATTAGATTTAATGGATCTGAAAACTTGGAAAATTAAAACACTTACTCAATATGTAGGAGATCCAGATTTTAATTATTTCTCTGCCTAGTTCAAACCAGTGCTTGCAGTAGAGCCTTAAGGTTATATTGCTTTCTTACAAGGGTGTGTGCTAATCAGTTATGTCTTCCCATGTGTTGGACCAGGAATGCTGTCCTGGAGCTAGAAAACTTGCCTTAACAGGCAGTCCATCAAAACTGATGTACTAGCACAAAAAGCTTGGGTTTTGGCAAATCAATATTTATCAAACCAGTTTCACTGAAAAATCTTCAAGCAGCTTCATTGCTGATGGAGATTTAATGAAGCAGAGTGCCTAATGCGCATGTTAATTCTCATTGAATCAGGCTTAAAGAAATGACTGTAGGCAAGGAAGAAAAACGAACTGGGCCACATCACCCACAAATAAAAGTCACAAAACAAATGCATGAATGTTTGCAAGGAAACCCTGAAAAGGCAAAAAAAAATATCCAGAAGGATTCTGTTCTTTGAGTTGAGTACTAGTCAGGTAACCTTTGTCTTGTGCATTGTCTATTTGGAGTCCCAGTAACTTCCTTGGAGATTTGCATAACCTTCATTTGCTACTCTTCAGATGTTAGTAGTTTAATGTAAACAGACTGTAAGGAGCACAGACAACATGCTAAAATACTGTTCATGAAAAGGTGGCCAGACCTAGAGCCAGTTTTCATCATTTGTATAGTCACAGATCCTGTGGCTGCACTGTGGCAGGTTAATACATCCTGCTTGTAACCATGGGCTGATTCAGCCACAGTGTTCAGCCTCTGGCATCCTTTCTGACCCAAATTCAGCATCAAGGAGAACATTCCACTTCTGTACCTTACTGTACTGAATAAACTTGGGAGCACCTGAAAGAAAAAAAAAAGGTGGAATATTTCTTTGCTCTGGGATCCTAGATGGTTTCTCTTCTTGTGTCAGGGGTCATGATGGTTTGGGGTGTTTCATTCTGTAATGCTGGATACATCAATCAAGGTGGCAAAGCTTAGAGAAAATGGAAAAGGAAGGGCTGAGTATTGTGGTTTGCAATATGTAGGGAAGAAAGTAATCCTAGGGCTATTTTGTAAAGTGCTGGTTTGGGATTTGACACCATGCAATGGCTGCTTGAGCCTGTAAACACAGTCTCCACCACTTCTTTTTGTTCTGATTAAGATGTAAACAATGACCAGATTCTGATATGCCTGAAAATACAACTGACAAAACCAACCAACCTGAGGACGAAACTGTGCAAAATCTTATGGCTTATATGTTTAGTAAGGCAGCTTGTAGGACTCTGAGGATTATAGATCATCATCCAACATCTGGTTGGATATTTGAGAGGCTTCATCAGCTGTGTGGAAATTTATGCTCCACTGTGAACTATGATCTCTCTGGTTTCCTGCTGATGAGTTTGCCTCTCTGTTGAGTTGAGTACCTTGAGGGATGGGTGACAGCTTTTTCTGGTCTGACATAGGGATGGCTCTCTTGGAGAACCTCAGGTCTGCACTAGAGCTTACAATCCCATCTTGGGATGCTCCTACCTCCCCTTTCCCACTCCTATTCCCTCCCCTCAGCTTTTAGCTCTAAACAGAAAAGCTGACCCAGGTTCCATCTGGGTCAGGTTCCAGTATCTGCTGTGAGGCAGCAGAACAGAAGAGCACTGAGCTCTCCTAAGGAGCTCAGGTTGCAGACCCCAGATTTAGGGAGCTGCTGGATGCTTTATGAGGAGCAGTACTGACCCCTGGACCCCATCTGGCAAACAGACCTCAATTGTGTGCAACTTTTGCTCACTCAAGTGAGCATCACAACTGCATTACAACTTTCTGTTTCTAACTTTTGCATTTAGCAAGAATGTCCTGGATCACAGTGTGTTTTATAAGCACTTTTATTGTGAACACTTGGACTGAGAATGCTTCTCTGTCTGTTAGCATGCAAGCTTTCAGTTCTACTGAAGACACCTTTGACATAATTGCACCAGGATTTCAGAGAGGCCTAAGAGATACTTATTGCTATTGTTTTCCATGCAATCACTCAGGGAAGCATCCAAAAATGTAAGGCATTCAAAAATGTAGTCAGAGATGTGATAGAAATGAAATACTCAATGTGGCTTGTAAATGTGTTTATCTAAGTGCAGCCTCTTCCTGTGTCAGAACAGATTTTTGCAAACAAGAGGGCAATGATTCAGTTCCTGGGGAACACTGACAAAATAAACCCCAGCTTCTACTGACCTGATGCAGTGCTGAACAGTGTCCTACCCTGGGAAAATATTTCCTGCTTCATTTTCATAAATATTTATATAATTCCTTCTGGGAAACATGTCTTCCTCAGAAAACTAAACATGCTGCTCCCTGACATAAATTTAACTGTTTGTTTACACATGAGGGATTATGGGCATGTACCCAGCCTCAGATCTTTACATTCTTATCTCAGGCATTTCTGTCTTTTAGAGTTCTTTGCTCTCCTCCTAGAGATCACATCATGTCTTGAGCTATGGAGCTCATTTCTGGCTCTGGAATTTGGTGCTCTTTGGAGAGTTGTTATTTTGGGCTGCAGAAATAGGAACCAAATATAATGTTCTGCCTGGAATCACATTTCTTTGCTGCCTAGTTATACCCTTCCCATCCTGGTTTGAGGCTCCTTTCTTAAAAAAATAAAAATCATGTAAGCAATTAAACACAGGATTGCATGGCTAATGAAGGTATTTCTATTTAGAAACAGACTGGACACACAGCTGGGAACTGAAATAGCACTGGTGTCCAGTCTTTTGTGTTTGCTTTCTAAGTTTATAGTGTGGATTAGTGGCAAAGTGGTGCACAAATTGCCCCAAGAGAATAGATATACTCCACACCATGACAAACTGAAAAACT